AACATTGGGTCCCATCCTTCTTCTGGACTAACACGACGGGAACTCACCAGGGACTGATTTCTCGACTATCCCTTCTTTAATTAAGCCATCCATGACCTTCTCCATCTCTTGTCGCTTTGCCGGAGTTACTCTCCTCGGAGAGATCTTTATTGGACGGTGATTGCCTGTGTTTATTCTGTGCTTCACAAGGTCTGTGCAGCCGAGGTCATGATCTTTTGAAAAAACGTCTGCATAATCCGCCAAATGTTCCCTAACCCGAAGAGCCTGTAATGATGACAAATGGACTATGCTCTTCTCATAGAGGTCAGGATGTCTTTTCTTTATGGTTGTATTTCTTATCTTAACATTGACTATCTCTACCTCCTGGCACATACTCAACAATGTCCTTTCATTAAGTGTCTGCTCACATTTAGAGAAATTAACCACTGTTATGGGTACTATGTGATGACCTGCCACAAATGACCTTCCAATCCTCACATCCACTGGCCTGAATGGGTCTTCCACTGCTTCCACAAGCATAGGGCTTCCTTGGGGATGTTCTTTTATTCTACCCCAAATTATCTTCTCTGACATAGGAGGTATTGTAGTTGACTTAAGTGTTGTGACGTGCAAATCAACAGAAGCAGCAACACTTACCAGAATTTGGCCTTTGTTGTTCCAAACATCATTTTATCAAAATTAACTACACACTTCCTCGGTAGTAAGTAGTCCAACCCTCGCATGCATTGGTCTTCAATGTCAGCCAAGTATACTTTGTGTCTGGCCTTCATCCCCATGGGCTCAATAGTTACCCACACTGGTCCCCACAATCTTGTAGAATGTCCTGTCACACCATAAAGCTTCTGTATGGCTTCTGGTACTCCTTTGTGATCCAGCACCTTGATACTCACAATGGTTTGCTGAGATGCAGAATCTATGACAAAGGTGCACTTTTGACCATCCAGCTTTCCTGTCACGTAGACACTCTGTGCACTTGCCATTTTACACTTAACTGTTGGGACTTTCACAATGGGGGTTGATGGGCGTCCCTCAGCACCAACCACTACTGGTTCCCGAAGCTGACTTATTGGTAGTATTCTTCTTACACTGGCCTTGCTATGTCCTTGCTCTCCACAGTTTCAATCACCTCTCTGGATAGCAGCCTTTCCTACTGTGGCATCTTCTCTATGTTGAAGTTGCTGGCATTGAGCTCTCTTGTGCCAAGGTTTGTTATAGTACCAGCAAAGTCCTTCAAACTTCTTTGAAAGCTGCCCCTTTTCTGCTTTTCTGGCCTTGAATCCTGATGACTGTACCAACCTTGGTGCCTCTGTGCTGGACTTAATATAGGATTCGAATTCAAGAGTTCTGGCCATTGCATCCTGCATAGTAGAAGGGTGTGCTTGCTTTACTTGTATCTTCAGTTGTGGACTGTCCAAGGCATTTACAAACTGATCCCTCAGCAACAGCTTGATGACATCGGGTGGTGCTGTTGGGTAGGCCTTGTATGCCATACTTTCCAAATCCTGTGCCAGCTCTTGCAGGCTCTCCCCTTTAGCACGGACTCTCGTCCTAAACCTAGCCCTGTAGACTTCAGAGTGATTTTGGGTTCCGTACCTGAGTTCTATAGTTGTGCCTGTCATCTGCTGACAACTGTCCAAGTATTTTCAGAGGTTGTCCCTTCAAGCTCGTTACCAGAAATACTGCTTTCTGCTCCTCTGTCCATCCATTCATCTCTCCAAGGAGCTCAAATTGTGCTCTATATGCTTCCCATGGTGCATTCCCTTCGAATTCCTGTGGGTTCCTTTGTACTAGATCACCCTTATCCCTGACACTCATATCTGAAATGTGACTTCTAACAGGACTGAAGATGTTTGCATTAGGGTTTAGCTGCGGGGTCTGGAAGGGGCTTCCCGTTGTCTGAGGCTGATTAGGTCAATCGCTAATATATCCTCCTTGTGTAAAAGACGGTAAATCATTCTTTAATGTATTTAATTCATTTTGAAATTTACGGATCTTTTCCATATGTGTATGCTGGATTTTTCTCAACTGTTGGAGACTTTCTTCTTGTTTATTTTCTTTGTCCTCCAACCACTGCTGTAGTCTCTCTTCAATTTGTTTTTGTCATTTGCTAATCTCTTCAAACACTTT